AGTCCCGCTGTAGACCCTAACTTAGTCCCACTCTATACCCTAACTTAGTCTCGCTGTAGACTCTAACTTAGTCCCACTGTAGACCCTAACTTAGTCCCTGAAGGTGCAGGTTCTGGTTAAACCATGTTTTTGTACTTAGGCTGATCCAGTACCCCGCCCCGCCCTCTAAAGGCCGGATCTCGGTCACGAAGGAGGATTTGTTGCGCCTTCGAGACGGAGAGTTCCTTAACGACGTCATCATCGACTTCTACCTCAAGTCAGTGAACAGATAAAGCAGTTTCTGACGTGTTTTATTGTGAAGGCGGTGCTGACTTCCTATGTGTCTTGCAGGTACCTGATCCTGGAGGGGGGGGGCTCGGCCTGCGATCGGAGTCACGTGTTCAGCAGCTTCTTCTACAAACAACTGAGCCGACGGAGGGCGGCGGGCGAGGAGGACGCCTTCATCCCGTAAGGACCTCTGACAGAGACTTTCTAAATAAAGGGGGCTTTTATTGTGAAATATCAGGGCTTTTATTGAGAAGCATCAAAGCCTTGAGGACTAACCCAGAGAAACTTTCAAAATAAAGTCCTTCCCCAGTTTTAAAGAGGCTCTATTAAACTCCTGTCCTCAGAGACCGGGACAGGAGGCATCAGAGGGTGAAGACCTGGACCCGACACGTGGACATCTTCTCCAAAGACTTCCTGTTCGTGCCTGTCAACCAAGAGTGAGGGAAACGTCTTTTTTTACTATGTGTTGGTCCTTTGTATTTAGTTGTTGTTGAATCATCTGTTTCTTGTCCCAGAGCTCACTGGTTCCTGGTGGTGGTCTGCTTCCCCGGCCTGGAGGAGCCTCAGCACCAGGAGTTCACCTGTCCTGCAGGTGAGCCACCTCCATAGATCAGGGCTTTTATTGTGAAATATCAGGGCTTTTGGCTTTTATTGTGAAATATCAGGGCTTTTATTTTTAAATATTAGGGCTTTTGGCTTTTATTGTGAAATATCAGGGCTTTTATTGTGAAATATCAGACTTTTATTGTGAAATATCAGGGCTTTTATTATGAAATAGGAGAGCTCTTATTGTGAAATATATTATGACTTTTATTGTGAAATATCAGGGCTTTTATTGTGAAATATCAGGGCTTTTATTGTGGAATAGGAGAGCTCTTATTGTGAAATATTATGACTTTTATTGTGAAATATCAGGGCTTTTATTGTGAAATAGCAGGGCTTTTATTGTGAAATAGCAGGGCTTTTATTGTGAAATATCAGGGCTTTTATTGTGAAATATTCTGACTTTTATTGTGAAATATCAGACTTTTATTTTGAAATATCAGTGCTTTTATTGTGAAATATCAGGGCTTTTATTGTTAAATATTATTACTTTTATTGTGAAATATCAGGGCTTTTATTGTGAAATATTATGACTTTTATTGTGAAATATCAGGGCTTTTATTGTGAAAT